TTGTATATATATGTATATTTGTATATATATGTATATATATGTATATATATGCATATATATGTATATTTATGTATATATGTATATATATCATAATTTGTCATTATCGTAGTCAAAATTGTTTGTCTACAATCAGTCATTGGACTTACAGTGATAGTATCTGAAAGAGGGCAGCCTGGTAAGAATGGCTTGTTCTCGTGGTCATTGTTAATTGCATCACGTGCGTGTTCTTCCATAACCCACATGCGAACCTCAACGCCTTGTCGTCCACAAAGTTGCGCCAACGCTGTGCCGAAAGCGCCACCCCCGACTACCGTTACCCGTTTAGGCTTCCTAGTTCCAGTCATTTTCCTATATTTCTATTGTCTTTTTTAAGCTATGCTATGAATTGCTCTGCGAGTGTGTAACGAAACGTAGTTATGCGCGTATCGCTTTATATGCACACATCATTATGACCATTAATGAAGGTCAGAACTTCGCAACTGCAGTGTTCACAAACTTTTAGGTAAATATTTTAGAGAAGCTTTTATAGAACGAAATTGTAAATTCACGAAATTTTATGTTTGAAATAATCACACTGTCAGATTGACGCAATTTAGAGGATATAGAACGATTCCATTCGAGGATATCACAATTTCGGTGATTTGTTTTGCGACGCCGATGTAAACATAGTAAACGACATTCTATGATAAAATTAAATATATTCAAGTTGCCATATATAGATAGAATTCAGAGAATGTCTACACAGCGGCGGGCTTCACAGCCTCACAGGGGAGTTGTACACGCTGTTTTGAATTTGTGTCAGCGACAACCGAGTGAGCCGACAGGCGGCAGGCTGCAGCCACAGGCCGACATAAATATTTTAGTCACTGACACTCTGACAATGCCGGGTCAGTTGTCAGTGTGTCACGCCGTTGATTCTTTTTTTACAATGAAAAACAGAATGTTTTTAATATCTCTTAAAGTGCCGGACAAGACTTCTGGGGGTTTTTTTAGAAATATTCCCCGGGGGCGGTATGTATTTACTTATTTATTTTATTTATGAGCTCGGTCTAATACTTTTTGTTTTAAAAAATATATTATTAGTACAAAACAATAGACCTATGAAAATTTATTTTTAGAACAAAACCGTTTCTTAGCGGAATTTTGTAATATTATCAGAAACGATTTTGGAACCGCTTTTATAACCCTTGGGACCCTAATTTTAGTATGTACACGCAAACATAGACACATTTAAAACTACATGTTGGGATAGAAAACTCGTTCAAATATATTACACGGCTATGGGACGGCGACGTACAAACAATGTATGAAAATAAGAACCGTCCTATACATATAAAACCTTTTTTGGAAGATATATAT